TTGTAATATAGAGTAATAAATAATATATTATACAATTGATGGACAATGTAACAATGAAGTCTAGTCCATCCTAGGCAACTTGGAGAAAAAATCAAATTCGATTGGCTGTAACCAGTCTGAACAAAGTCGCCTTATCGTCTTCAAGTGGTCTTGATGCAAGAATTGGAATCACGGTTCAGTTGGTGAGCCAAGATTCCGAGTGACACAATCAGAAAATAAACAGACAGTTCGACGAAATGGAAATAGATAAAGAATTTTGGGACGAATTTATAAATATTTACAAGTTACACGAGTGTTGTGGACTAACAAAATAGAAACAAAATGCAAACAGAAACATGCGTAATGCTGCATATAATGAACTAATTGAAAAATGCAAAGAGAAATATCCGGCTGTTAACAAAGATTTTGTTACTAAAAAAATTCATAGTATGAGGTGCAGCTTCCGGAGAGAGGCTTAAAAAAAGTGCAATTGTCAAAAAGAAGTGGTAGCGAATGATGTATATATTCCAACGCTGTGGTACTATAATACACTAAAATTTATCACAGATTGTGAAATATCTCGTCAGGGAATGTCGTCTTTGAATGATGAAACAGAAAATGAACCGGTAGAAAATAATATAGAAGGTGAGGAAATGTAGAATGATGATATATATTTGAATGAAATAATATAGAATGATATAATATATAGTTATATATATAGTTATATATATTCTATATATATAGTTATAATATAGTTATTATATTATAGTATAATATAATTATAATGAAATAATATAGAATAATATAGAAATAATATAGAAAAAATATATGAAATAATATAGAATGATGATATATTTTTATGTTTAAAGTGACAATACATTGTGTTTATTAAATTGTATTATTGTTTGCCATTTGTTCTTGAGATTGGACACTGCCTTCATTATTAAAATAAATTTTATTTTATTTAACAGATAGTAAAAGGCACAGTCGTCCATACGCAGATAATTTTTATAGTCACAAGGCTCATTCGTTTTAGTTCTTTTAATAACGTGGAATTGGAAAATCTATTTCTTTCGATTAACCATCTTTTCGCCCATTTCTTT